AATAACTGGTGACCAATGAATACAGCATTACCCCCACTCTTTAAAGTTTCAGAGCTCCCAATAACCCAAGAACTTGCAAACAAACAGGGATTTCAACAGACTGCTCCAGTGCTGCAGGCACAAACACCTGGGAATGGGGAGGAATCAGTAGGGTTTCACTAGGAAGACAGTGACAACAGCAGCACAAGCATGCAGGCTTCAGATCCAGAGAGTGAAGGGAAAAGAGGTGCTCCATGCCTCAATCTCCTTTTTAACACCCAAACAGCCTAGAGGTTAGGAAACCAAATGCCTCATTTTACAATGAGGGAGCTCTCAGCCATCACAAAGATTTGCTTCCATGAAACTTATGTGTCATGGGTTTCCCTCCGGGGAGCACTCAGAGCCATGCTAATGGCCATTCCCATCCCAGAACTTGGAGCCGGGAGCAGCCAGCTCAGTGCAGAGGAGATGAGAGGCAGGTTCGGCTCCCAGTTAGAAGCTCAGCTCACAGCAGGCACTGCTCCAGTTCTGAGTCATGCTTTCACATGTCAAGCACAGCTCCTTGTCCTGTCGCTACAGTCCCTGATGAAAAGCCCCTCTCCAGCATCCTTGTACCCCCCTTCAGACACTGGAAGCTGCTATGAGATCTCCACGCAGCTTCTCTTCTCCAGGCTGAACAGTCCCAATGTTCTCAGCCTGTCTCCACACGGGAGGTGCTCCAGGCCCTGCTCATCCTCGTGGCCTCCTCTGGACTTGCTTCAACAGCTCCATGTCCTTCTGATGCTGAGGACACCAGAACTGCACACAGCGCTCCAAGTAGGGTCTCACAAGAGCAAAGGGAAATGAAGGGCACGCAACTGGTTTGGGGCTAACCCAGTCCTCACTTCACAACAATGAATAGGAATTATTTCATGTGGTCAGAGACAAGGTTGGTCTGGTCACAAAACACCAAAAAGATTTCTATGGTACCTGAATGCACCAAAACTCTAGAGAGACTCTCTCCACATCTTCCATTCTCTCAAAAAAGGGGTTCCAAAAGCAAGTTAACAGCAAACTCCATCTGATCAGGAGCACAACTTTACTAAGCAAGGATCTCAGACCTGTTAAACCCAAACTAATGGCCAATCTTTAGGGCTCAATCTATCCAAAAGCACAACTACTGACCCTGACCCATGTAACAAGCAAAGTCTCTTCATAAGACAACTCCTCAATTCAAGGCCAGGTTGGAGCAAGCTGCTCTAGTGAAAGGTGTCCCTGCCCATGGAATGGGGTTGGAGTTGGATGAGCTTTAAGGTCCCTTCCAACACAAACCAGGCTGGGATTCTACGGTTCAATAAGAGTAACAATATACTCCCCTGGAAATTAGCTTTAATGACCACAGACACATTGGCCCATAGCTAAACCCCAAGGCCACCAGGCAGAGTAGCTGTTTCCTCTCCACAGGCTTCTCCCTCAAACCTTATCAGTGTCAGAGTAAGCTCTCTCCCCTTGTTAGGAAAGGTTTAGAGGTGACAGGTTTAACTTCATGAGGTGCTTTAACACAGCATTCATCAAGTTACTACTTGTACAGTGCTCACCAGTGAGGCTCAGCTAAGGATGGAGCAGTGATATTAACCAAGAGCAGTGTCAGGTCACTTAAATCTCCTTAACCCACCTGAAATCAGGCTCCTGCTGCTCATTACCTGACTAGCTACACCCTGCTATGGGACACCCCACCTCACTCTGCTGCCCTGCAACTGAAGGTTACTCTTCAGCATGACAATAAAGCCACCCTCTCCAATGGCTAAGACTCTTCAGACAGTTATTTCCTCAAATCCCCTGTTCCTCGCCACCTCAGGCCAGAAGCAGACTCCTTGTTGCTGCTGAGCTTGCACTTAGTATCTGAGCTGCCAAATACACAGTAACTTCATTCCCCAGTAACAGTCACACCTGGGACAGCAGCTCCAGCCTGGAAACTTCAAAAAGTTGTTACCCTCCTGCTTCTGTGAGAGCAGCTTCTGGAGCTGCTGCTGTTACTCTGTGGCACTGGGCTGCACTGTGCTCCTTTCTCAGAGCTCCAGCTGTAACAGCCTTTCCCATCTCCAGAAAAAGCCCTCTCCAGACTGACCCTGGGGTTTTCTCTGCTATTATCCTGAGTGTCAAAACACAGATGAGAGCCAACAGAGCATGGCAAGAATCCTGCACTGGTTTGGGTTGAAAGGACCTTAAAGCTCATTCAATTCCAAGGGCAGGGACACCTTCCACTGGAGCAGCTTGCTCCAAGCCCCTGTGTCCAACCTGGCCTTGAACACTGCCAAGGATGGGGCAGCCACAGCTTCTCTGGGCACCCTGTGCCAGCACCTCAGCACCCTCACAGGGAAGAGCTTGAGATAAAGGCACCCTAAAGCTCCTTTCACTGTTCACATGATGGTTTAACCTCGCTCCTGCTGTATTCCTAGAGCAGCTCCTCTGTGGGTCATGCTCCCATAATCTCCCATGTTTTAAATCATGTTTTTACCACTGTGACACAAGCAAAAGAGAAAATGAACCTTCACAAGTTCTTCATCATCCATACAAAATATGGCAAAACACTTTGTTTCCAACACTGTTATCACCTCCATTCTCTTTAGGAGACTGAACGTGGCAGGAAATACATCTCCACATGCAGAAGGAAGCTGGAATGGCAAAACCCCACCATGAAATAACAGCTACTGGGGAAGCAGTTGCTTTGACTGACGGTTTGAGAAAGTGACCACACTCTCCCACCTTATTCAGGTGAACTTAAGCTTTTCCATTGAGGGAGCTGAATTCAGGGAGTTATCTGAATGAATCCTGAAGATTGTGAAGAACTGAGAGGTTCTTAAAGACTCTGGAGGCTCATTTCTTCAGCACAAAAGAGGGAAAACCCTTGTTGAACAGCTCCTTTTGACTAATCCCAAGTGGAGAGGGAAGCGAAGCCAAAGGGAATGAAATATCTCCACCACTTGCTTGTCCCATCTTATCAGCTGAACTCCATCTGCTCTGGGTCACTCTCCAATGTTCAGTGAGAGAAACAAGCAAAGCTCAGTTAACAGCAGAGCTGATCTTGATCCAAAGTGAGAGGAAAAGGAGCTGCAAGTGCTTTTCAGGAGCTGTTCTAACTAAAAGGCCTCAAGAAGACCATTATCCCACGTAGGGTTTTGGTGTCAAACAAGAGAAGACCCTTTTGGTCCACCTGGAGAGAGAACCTTGACCACATCCTCCCAAAGCCCCTGCAGCACAAGTGCAGTGCAGGAAGTGATTCTGCAACAGGGGTTGTGCATGAGCTCACACAGTGCAAAGACGCAGAAGGCAGCAAGGAACTGGGCTAAAACTGAAAGAGCATAAAGAGCAAGAACCAAAACACAGGAGGGAACCAAGGCCACACCAGCAGGACTGAAAGAGCAGCTTCAAGGCAGTTACACCAAAGAAAGGAGCTGAACACTCCCTGCACCCTCAAACAGCTGCTAAAACCTTTATCACTCACCCACCACAACCAAGTGCTTTCTGCATGGAGAAATGCATGGATAAAGCAGCACAGCGTGGTCAAGAAGCTGCCAGCCATCCATGGAGATAGGGAAACACAAGGATGCCAACCAAACACAGGTAAAAGGCAGCATATACATGGTCAGAAAACTGCCAAATACCCACAGAGATGGAGAAACACAGCGATGCCAACCAAACACACGCATAAAGCGGCATATACGTGGTCAGGAAGCTGCCAAACACCACATGCAGCCCATAGAGATGGGGAAACACGAGGATACCAACCAAACACACATACAGAGCAGGATACAGATAGTCGGGAAGCTGCCAAACACCAAATACAACCCACGGAGATGGGGAAACGCGGGGATATCAACCCAAGCCGACTCCCAGCGCTCGCTGGTACTCACCGGCCGCGCCTGGGGGCTCAAGTAGGGCTCGAAGTCATCATCATTCAACCCATCCTTCTGGTGCACGGCTCCGTTTTGCACTGGGGACGAGACGCAGCGCGTTAAGGGATGAGCCCAAAGCACTCACACTCACACACACACACACACAACCACCACACACACCCCCCATCGCCTCCCCATGCTCTCACCTTTGCTGCTCTGCCCCTTGGGTCTCTGCAGGGAAGGAGAGAACAGAGAGCGGTGAGTGCCGGCGCACAATGGAGCCGCGGCCCTGAAGGGAAGGGGAAGCGAAGGGAGGGGAAGGCCGCGGCCCTGCGCTAGGCCGCAAAGCCGCGGGCTCGCCTAGCGGGCCCGGCGCGGCTCACTACCTGCTCCAGGAGGCTGCTGGCCGACATGGCTCCGCGGCGGGGCGGGGCGGCGGCGGCTTTGTCCGGGCTCGGTACCGACGGGGCTGGCTTTGAGGCTGGCTTGGGCGGACTCCGCGGCGTGGAACCCCCGCGGCGGGTGTCGACGCTCTAGGCCGCCGCCCGCCCCCTCTCTCGTCTGCTCCAGCCCCAGCCGTGCCTATGGGCCCCGCCGCACGCGCTCCCCAGCACAATGGCGGGAGGGGGGCGGGCGGGGGAGCGGCGCGGTGCATGGCGGGATGGAGGAGGACTTAAGCGAGCGGCGCCCCCTCTGGGCTCTCGGGCGCGCGGGGGGGGGGGGAGGTCGCTCTTAAAGGGCCAGGCGCCCACATTGGCTGCACCCCCCGAAGCCCTGCTCTGTTACACCCCCATAGCACAGGTCCCATCCCCATGCTCAGGGGACCTGGGGACCATGGCATGCCAAAAGGAATATGGAAAGAAGCAAAGCCAAGAGTAGGGAGCAGGGAAGAGCCTGCTGCACGCATGGAATGGCGAAGGGGGGCCCCAGAAGGACCTAGTCCCCCCCTAATCAAAGGAGAAGAATGGGGTGAAGGCAGTTGGATATGGTGGTGGTGGACCCCAAATCCATGAGATCAGCTCCTGCAGATGTCCCTCCACGGGCAGCATCACCCCAAAGCTGCAGGCAGAGGGTCCCCATCCTGCTCTGAGGGGCTGGAGCCGAGCCCCCTTTCACCTACCCCTGCACAAACCACTCAGACCTGGGTCCAGTTTTCCACTTTTCCTTTTTAATCCAAAAAAATAGGCAAACACATCTTCCTTCCATCCTCCCCCCTCCCCCGCCTATGGTGTGTTCTTTAATAGTTCCAGGCAAGCAGCTCCCCCTCCTTCAGCCTTCCCATACCTCTTTCCCCTCTTCCCACCATGGCAGAACCCAAAGAGACCCCGGACTCAGGGCAAAATCCACCTAAAGCAGAGGGAAAACCCCGTTATTCCAGCCCTGTGCTGGTTCTAATCCTGCACAGGGATTATAGGAAGGAAAAGAAAGGAATAAGCCCAAATGAAACCCACCCAACAAGTAGCGACAAGCACGGAGCAGCCCCAGCACACAGTGCAAATGGGAGCTGTCCCGATCCGGAGCCTAGCATTCCCGGGATAGCGACAGCACAACATGCTTTGTACATCCCATAATGTCCCTGTGGCGTGGAGCAGCGAAGGGAAAAGGGGAATTCGAGGGGTTTAAGCTTGAGTTGATCGATTGAGCCTTGATGCAAAAGGCTGAAGGGATGGTGGGGAGTGGCACCAAGGGAAAGGGATGGGGGGAAAAGTGCTGTGGGACTGGGATCCAGGGAGCCAGACAGAAGGTCCTGGGGCTTTGCATTGGGGAAATGTGGACAAGGATCATGGACTAATGATGGGAAAGAGCAAACAAATCCAAACCAATGGAGCTATAAATGCAACCTGTGTGGAGGGGAGGGTGAGGACAGTGACAGCAGAACCACTGCCTCCCCCCCAGAGCATGGATAATAACATTAACAATAATATAATAATAATAATAACAATAAAAAATTCCCAGTTGAGGTGAGAGTGATGAGTCCGAGAGAATCCCCTTCCCAGGGGGAAAACTCCAAATGAGGTACCTGGTCCACCCCAAAGCTGTGTCCCCTTCCACAGTCACACCAAGGCTTGGTGACCCTCCGGGCCCAGTGTCCAGTTCCTCCCGGCTGGGCTGGTGAGCACGGATCCAGTCTCTCCAGGACCCTGCAAACAGGGGGTGTTGTTCAGTGCTCCACAGAGCCAAGTCTCCTGTGTTCCTCCAGCTTTTTGTGTGTTTAAACCCCCCCAGATTAGAGCTATCTCTATTCTATACAGGACAATGAAACAGCCGTGGAAACAAATGGGGTGGCTGGAAAAGATGCTCCACCAAAAAAAGCTTCAAATGAAACCAAATTCCCCAACTCTTTCCCCAGACTGAAGCTCGTTTTCCCCCACTTTTAGTCCTCCAAGACCACAATCTCCACGTTATGAACCTGGTGCTGATGCTCCTCCCCATCTCCCACCACTTTCTCCTCAGTCCTCAGCTCCGTCTCCAGGATCACCGCTTTCCCCTCCGCCTCCTCTGCATCGCCTTCGGGATCGGGCGCCGGGTCAATCTCTATGATGGTCTGCCCATCATCCGAGGTGCCCTCCACGGCTTGGATGGTGGAGGTGAGCCCGGACTCCATGGCCACCAGCTCCACGGGGTTCACCACGGTGGCCACGTTGGCCAGGGCCCCGCTGTCCTGCATGGCCGCCGAGCTGAGCAGCGCCAGGCTGGAGGACGGGTGGAGGGTGACGGTGTCGGAGGAGCTGGTCTTGGAGGAGGACACCACGGTGGCGTAGCGGAAGAGCTGGGAGCCGGAAGGCAAGGTGTGAACAGTCACCGGGCTGGAGCCTTGGCTGATGGTGGCCACCGGGATGTTCCCGACGGAGAACTGCTGTCCGACGGGCGCGATGGCGATGGGCGAGATGACGGTGAACTGGGGCTGCTGGATAGGGGTGGAAGGGCTGAGGACGGTGGCAGAGGCCGGGCGCTGCAAGCGGGGTCTCTTAGGGGGCTTGGGAGCGCTGACGGGCATTAGCACCACGTTCTGGATGGTTTGGGACTTCGCCTTCTGGTCCTTGGCCAGTTTCTTCTGCTCTTCCAGCTGCCGCTCCAGGTCTGCAGAGAGAACACAACCAAGCATCAAACCCCCTGTTTGTGACCAGAGGGCTCCTACTCATCTCAATGCTTCACTCAAATCAAACTGCACCAAAGGAAAAGGTGACCAGATTCTCCTGAGCTGCTTTTGCAGCTGATAGGGAAGAAGCAGTCATAGAATCATAGAATGGTTAGGGTTGGAAAGGAGCTTAAAATCATCCAGTTCCAACCCCTGCCATGGACAGGGACACCTCACACTAAACCAGGTCACCCAAAGCTCTGTCCAACCTGGCCTTGAACACTGCCAGGATGGAGCATTCACAGCTTCCTTGGGCAACCCATTCCAGTGCCTCAGCACCCTCACAGTAAAGAACTTCCTCCTTAGATCTAACCTGAACTTCCCCTGTTTGAGTTTGAACCCATAATGCCCTGTGTCGGTTGTCTCCCTCTCCTGGGTATTTCTGCTCCCCCAAGCCAGACAAGGGAGTGAGGGTAGGAAGCAGCAGGAACTGCTTCCCAAGCTTGGCTGGATGCCCTTCCCAGGCTCCAGGCACTGGGGACAGGGAACAGGACTGTCTGCATCAGAAACCATCTCCCTCAACCCCTGTGTGTGTGAACACAGGGAGTCAGGAGTAACCCGGTCACCTCAGTTATCCAGGGCAGTAGGGGACTGGGACATCCCAGATAAGAACAGGTCCTACAGGACACGGTGAGCAGCTCTGGGGAATCCAGGTCAGGTCACTGGCTTCAGCTCAGGGGAAGCTGTGCAGGACACACGATAGCTCCATGCCAAGGTGAGCAGGCAGCTCAGCACCCAGAGCAGCTCAGAGCTTCAGCGCCCATTGCCTGATGCTGGTGGCATCTGACTCGCACCCTCAGCACCCTGCCTGGCACCACAGACTTTGGGCTGTCAAATCCCTCAAGCAACTGCTCACTGTGAGGTAAGGGAGAGGGGAAATTCCACTTGAGCCCTAGGATGGAAAGGGATCAGGATAGGTTTGTTTCAGGGCAGCATGTGTTGAAAAGAACCCAACTATGGTTCATTTAGGGGGTATATGGAAGGAAATCAGCTCCCCAGAGCAGCAGCAGGGGGAGAAGCCTTTCCCAGGCTGTACCTGCCAGAGTGTAAAGAAACTGCTCCTCTCCTTGCTCTGTCTGGTTTTTCCTGTTGTCCAGAACCTTCTTGACCGTGTCCATCAGGCCAAACGTGTGGGCAACGTTGTTCAGGACTGCAGCATCTGCAAGGGAAGCACATGGGATGAGTGTCGGGTCCCACAAGAAATGCTTGCATCACACCAAAACCCTGCTGCTGCTTCACATACAACTCTCTCTGCTCTTGCACAAGAGCTGGCTGGCAAAGGCAGACCCAGCTCCCTCATCCCTCTGACATCCCAGGCCTCAATAACCCCATTCCCATGTTAAAGACCCAGAGATGTGTCACCCAAGCAGCTCAAAACTGCTGCAAATGAAAGCACTAGTCGCAATCCCAGAGATACACACGAGCTCTCCACCTCCAAACCATCCCCCATGCACTGACACCAGCTTCACTGACAGCTCTGCAGAGTTTCTATTCGAATCTACTGACTTCAATCACTCCCAGCTCCAAAAAGCTCCCCCTGACATAAAGATGTGCCAGATGTTAGCCAAAGCTAACTTAGGAAACACATCAAATAACCCTGCCTAAAATGAAGGCTGGGGCTTTGTGGACGTTCTCCCAGCAAGAGGTGCCCAAAGCCTGAGCTCATAGGGGTTGAACTGGAGTAGGGAACTGAGCTGAGTTCAAAATAACCCTAAAAAGAGGAGTTATTTTTAAGCCAGATCACTTCCGTCCTCTGGTTCAGCCCCAAAACCAGGTTCTCTGCCACAAGTGAGGGGGCAGGACCTGTTGTAGCCTGCACTGAGAAGTGCACAGAGAAGTGTTGGGACAGCTCTGGTCCAAGGGATGGACCCCTCTCACTTCAGCTTTTGCCTGCAGCTGCCCCAGGGCAGAGGCAGAGGCTGTGGCTCACCACCTACCTGTCATCTGGAAAGGAGACTGACCCAGCCTCTGCTGGACACCTCTTAGGACTTCTTCTATCTCCTTCTGGATGTTGCACACAACCTCTTCCATCAGCCCCACATCAGCTATTCCTTTCCAGAACATCAGAGTGTCCTCTGGCACAAGGAGAGGAGGGAAAAAGAAGTCAAACATAAACAAGCACTTGGTGGTTTCCCCCACTTACCATTCAGGCAAGAGTGAGTTTGCAAGACAAGCTCTAATTTGGCCATTGGGGTGGATATGTCATGCCACCCCCCCCCCCCAAAATGAGTCCAATCCTGCCTGCAGCAGTGAGGAGATGCAGTTGGGAAACACTGGGACAAGCCAAGGGGCTGGGAGACAGCTCTGGCATTGCCTCAACTCTCCTTATTGTCAGGATTTCAGCTTCTTACAGGCCAGAAGAGGGGAAGGAAACAGCTGAGAAGCAGCCTGAGCTCACCCGAGATCTCGTCCGTGTCCTTTTTCATGCCTTCCTCAGTGGCCATGGTCACAGCAGCTGTCAGAGCTGAGTTCCACTCGATGCCCTCCTCCATGCTCTCCTCTGACAGCGCAATCTGGGTGATGCTCCCTGACAGAGAGGAGATATCAGCTCCCTCTGCAGCCCCTGCGGGGCCAGCCCTGAGCCCTGCTTTATTTTCCACCCCCCTCAGATGACAGAGTCAGGGGCTGAGCTCTTTATAGAAGGGAAACAGAGCTGACTGTATCCTGTTTCTAGGTCAAACCTGGGACTAAGTCAATGTGCAGTCACTTTAGGGTTTCACCATGGTGCTTTCCAGGAGGCTCTCCTTAGCCTACGGATGACTTTGCCACCTCACTCACCCAGGGCCTTACAGAGCTGTACCTTGCCCAGCTGAATGATGTGGTATAGCTGGGAGTAGTTCTTCCCCCTTAACCTCAGCAAAGAGATCACTTTCTGCTCAGAATCACAGGATTCACTGGGGATTTGCAGTTGGAATCATGGAATCCCAGACTGGTTTTTGTTGGAAGGGACCTTAAATCTCATCCAGTTCCAGCCCCCTGCCACGGGCAGGGACACCTTCCACTAGAGCAGCTTGCTCCAAGCCCCTGTGTCCATCCTGGCCTTGAGCACTGCCAGGGATGGTGTGACTGGTGTGGGGGTTGAACCTGATTTGATGAGTCCAAGGAGGAAGAGGAGTGCCAGGGACACTGCCATGGCACTGAGTGGTCTCCTACCATCAGCTGATGTAGGGGTCTGCACCACGCTCTGCTGCCCCGGCACTGGTGCTCTGGCGCTGCTGATGAGGAGATCGAACTTGGTGCTTCTGCAAGTGTTGGTGCACACTTTGTCGTGCTGGTAGAAGTCAATCTGCCCTGAGTCCATCATCTTCCTGTGCAGGGAGGGGGGAAGAGGCCCAAGCTCAGCTCAAATCTCAGACTAAAGGGAGTATTCCACGTAGGAATGCTACGGAGGCCATGAGAAGGATGGAGAATGGGAGACTCTCTGCACACAAAGTAGTGCAGAGCTTTCAAATGGCAAATACAAGCCATCCCCAGCTTCATAGACAGGGTTCCAGCCCTGTTTTACCCCTCACAGGTCCCCCAGGTAAGGGTGGTTCTGTGCAGGGGGAGGAATGGTGGCCTTGAACCACAGACCAAGGCTCTCTGCAGGCACCAGCCAAGTAATGTGAGGCTCCAGGAGAGCTCCTGATGCAGACAAGTGCTGCTCAGGACCTGCAGCGATGGAAGCAGAGCTGGACACAGTGCTCAGCAAATGAAATACCTCAGCATGATGCCTCCGAGGCGGATGGCTCTCTTCCAGTCCTTCAGGGTGGACTTCCCAGCCAGGTGGACAAAGTGCTTTGGGCTGATCAGTTGGTCATTGAACTGCCAAGGAGACAAGCAAAGAGGGTAACATCACTTTGCAAGTGTGGAATGGAGCACCCAGCACAGCCACCCACAAGTCACCTAACCCCCAACTTCCACCCAGGAAGAGGAGCTGCTTCTCACATCCCTCCTAGCTCCCACCCCCTTGCCGCTGCAATGCTTCTAACTCCAGACTGGATCTGGAACCATCGGCACTGGAACCACACAGCTCTACCTCAGAACAGCCCTGAAGGCTTTCCTAGGGAGCACGAACCAAATCATCTCCTTCTGGGAATATGGACATCGGAGATCACTAAGGGAGACTCCTGTTCCACCAAACAGCCCAGCAACATCTGCCTGGCACAGGCATTCACTCAGCTGTCCGGTCCTGCTCCAGGAACTAAGAGAGCTCCTGTTGCGCCTCCGCAGCTCCCACTGGGGATTCAGCCTTGGCTGTTCTATCAGCACTCAGAACCCCGCACACTGCAAAGCCACTCAGTTCCAAGGTAGGGCTCACAAGGAAGTCCTGCAGAGCTCAAGCCTCCGGAGCTTGAGAGCAGCGAAGGAACCCACTGCAAAGCTCCCTCACCTTCACACACTTGACATTAATCCCTGGGCAGACAAACTTCTTCCAGAGCAGGATGGCTTTGCTCTCCCCGCACGTGATGGGGTAGGCGATCTCAATCTCCTCGTTCGCCTCGATGCTGCTGGGGTCTAAGGGAGGAGGAAGGGGGGAAAATGAAAGTATCCACCCAAGAGGATCCAGTCCCATGAGGTGAGAGCTGAAAGCTCACAGGATGCACTCAAGGAACCAAAAGAAGGGCAGATCCTTGGTCAGGATCAGTCCTCTCTTGGTCTTCTCCAATCACTAACAGCAACTGGCATGTGCTTTTTCATCTAGCACCACTCCAAAGGCAGCTCATCTATCAGGACAAGGGGAGATGTGTCAGGGAGAACAGTCCTTGTGGAAACAAAATGCTCTCAAATGGGAAGCTCAGACTTCTCTGGTCTCTCTTTAGCAGCAGGAACAGCTACTTCCTGCTAATACATTCTCTTCACACGCTGAAAGACTCACACCCCACACAGGAAGCAGAAGAGTAGCCAAGATCTAGTGACAGCACCTAATACCAGGAGCCTTTTCCCACTCACTCCCCGGGATAGCAGGGAGCACTTGGAGCCAGTGAGCTCAGCTCTTCCAAACATCCAACCCCAAGTGCCAGGCTGCTCCTTCAGCACAGAGCCAGCAAGCAGAGCGTGATGCTGCACTCAGTGCAGACACAACCACCATCCTCCTCACCAGCATTCCTGCCTGCCAGCAGCCAGAGTGAAATCTCGGCTCCCCTGGACCCCCTGGGAGCCCTTACCATTCATTGCAGGAGAGCCAGGAGCTCACTTCCAGGACTTTGAGACCATGCAGTAACAGCAGACTCTTATTCCAGGCTATGCCCAGACCCTGCACCCACATCCATGCCTGGGAAACAGCATCTGCAGGGGCAGAGCCAGAAGGAAGCCCGACGAACTGGAGCCACCAGCCCTGCAGAGGAGGGGATTCTGCCCATGCCAAGCAGGAACTCACCGATCCCTTCTTCTAGCTTGTGGATGGTGTGGGTTTCGACAGCCACCACGGCGGCACTGGCCTCGGAACTCTCCTGGTAAATCCTGTTGGGAAAGCAGGGATCCAGGAACAAACGATGGATTCAGCGTTACAGCACGGGGCTACACATTCCTGCCATTTCTTCCTTGCCTGTGCTCCAGGGAGGTGGATTATGTTTGATCCACTTCCACAGTGAGAATCCCAAGGCCTCAGACAGGCAGAGGTGTTCCCAGCCCTGGCATTCCACCCTCCCCACTGCCAGTGCCAGGAAGCAGCTCTGCAGTGGTGCTTCCTGGTGCCTTCTCCTCCCATTCTGGACACAGGCAGGAGGAAGCAGAGCAGAATGTCCCAGGATTTCTTCTCCCAGCCCTGTGTGACACTGCAGCACTGGTGGGCATGCAGTGAAGAGTTGCTGCCATGCCTACATGTGGCTGTTATCCAACTGGAGCATCAAACGTACATCACGACTGCTACGAGCCTGGTGGCAGCTGCTTCTCTGCAGCAGCAGCCCAGCTACCCCCGAATTCCCTCCAACATCCTGGTTTTGTTGTATTTGAGAGGATTATCTTTGGGAATGCTGCCATGGATGCATATATGGGTCTGGATATACATCCAGCAGCTGCAGTGTGGCAAAACCCCATCTTGGGCTGGAGAGGGAAGAGGGAGAGCAGGAGGATGCATGGCCAGAGCAGCACCACCAGCACCTCTCTGCTTCCCTGCTTCTACAAGTGCTTCCACATTATCCCCACAGGACAACTGCAGTGCTCAGAGGCCCCGTGGCAACGACACACACCAAAGCCTTTGGGGTCTTTCTCCCTGCACAAAACCAACACAGACCTGGAAACCACAGCACCGGTGGGTTCCCCCGGCACAGAATTCCACCGGGATCCCCCTGATCCCACCCCGCACCTCCCAGAAGAGCCGACTCACCCTTGCTGCACCGGCTGGAGCTGCAGGATCACCTGGGTTTTGGTATCCTCCGGGTTCTCCCCTTCGTTGCCGTCACTTGGTACAACCACCACATCACCCACAGGGACGCTCACTTCGGCATTCGCCATCTCTCACATGAAGGCTGTGGTGCTGCAAGGGGGGGGCAAAGCAGAGGCTGTGTGCGTGTGGGGAGAGGGATATGGTCCATGAATCCACGGAGAGCACCGGGCATTGTGGATCCAGCACCTCGTGTGCTGGGATTCCTCCTCCCCATCACCATGGGGATGTCCAACAGAGAGAGGCAGAGCCCCTATCCCCATCCCACCCGCACAGTGGGGTTGGAGAGAGCACCACGTGCTTCCCAAGGTGGGATCAAACCGCCCATGGGATGCTCTGATCATTCACTGCCCCACAGGGGAGCCGCTATTGCCTTGGATCCAACCGCCCTTGAGATGCTCTGATCCCTCACTACTGGGATCAGCCCAAGGCAGATGCTCTGCCCCCAAGGTGGGATCCTTGGATCCAACCATCCTTGGGATGCTCCAATCCCTCACTACCGGGATCAGCCCAGTGCTGGTGCTCTGCCCCAAGGTGGAATCCTTGGATCCAACCATCCTTGGGATGCTCCAATCCCTCACTACCGGGATCAGCCCAGTGCTGGTGCTCTGCCCCAAGGTGGAATCCTTGGATTTAACCATCCTTGGGATGCTCCAATCCCTCACTACCGGGATCAGGCCAGTGCTGGTCCTCTGCCCCCAAGGCGGGCTCCTTGGATCCAACCGCCCTTGGGATGCTCCGATCCTTCACTGCCCCACAGGGGAGCCGCTATTGCCTTGGATCCAGCCACCCTTGGGATGCTCCGATCCCTCGCTACCGGGATCAGCCCAGGGCGGATGCTCTGCCCCCACACTGGAATCCTTGGATCCAGCCTCCCCCCGCTGCCGGGACCAGCCCGGAGCTGCCGCT